TATTTCAGCAGGATAACTATACAATTTTGTTCCAACTTCAATCTTAAAATCAAAGCCACGCCTACTTTCCAGAGTTTGTGAATACAATGTGTTTATTAACACATAAAGCCACACATTTTCCATCACTTTAACTGAATTTAGTGCAAAAATAATGTAATTAAACCTGTGGCTGAATGTAATTTATATCCCTTAAACAAGTCATGCATAAACACAGTTCCTTCTTCTTTCTTCAACAAACCAAATGAGACTCATGAAGTTTCTCTCCTCAGTCGTCGGTCTGAAAGGTGATGAAACTGAATCTGCTGCTCTTTGAGTCACAAGTTTGATTTGTGCTTTGAAACATCAGATTAAAGAAAAGAAACAACTCAGATGATGGATGGGATAAAAAGAGTCGGGAGTTGATGAGAAGTTTTATTAGCAGGTCCCAGATCCGGTCTGAATGATGAAGACATGGCAGCGCAACAGAAACTGTGACACCTGCATCCAGTCCTCAGGTGCAAACTGCTGCCTGACTTCAGGAGTGAGGTGTGAAGACAGGCTGAGTCCACCTCACAGGCCGAGGGAGATCTAACACTTCATAAAAATGACATTTTGGCCAAATAAACAGCAGGAGGAGCAGGAAAACTGTTCAGTATCTGTTCTTATGAAATGATTTTACTTGAACGTGGACTATTATTTATGTCAGAGCATTTAAACAGAAACTGTACAAACATTAAATAACTAAAGTTATTTAACAGATTTATTGCAAATAAAACTCAAAGAAAATAAATGATTTAAACAGAGTGGAAAAATGACACTTTGTGAGCTTAATGATTCAACAACAACAACAGATGTAGCGTCACTACTATAAACTTGAATTAAGGCTGGAAACGTTTTATATGATTGTGTTCTGATGTTAAATTACAATAGAAAATGTAACAAATAGGAAACAACCGTGAGTTTGGGTTGCAGGGAAAAGTGTGTTTGTCTCATTTTTGTAAATGAATGTAAACATGTTTCTTCTGTTGCATCTGTTTTCAGTCAGAAACTGTTTCTGAATAAAAACTTCTCCAGTTTCTACTAAGTGACATTAAAACAAACGATAACTGAAAATCTAAAAGAATTCTTTTCACCACTTTCTTATAATAAAAACACTTTTATATGAACTGAAACCACATATATACTCAAAATAACACCCAATACAGGATAATGTTTTATCATTACAGAATCAGTATTAACATCCTATTACCAAGCTGTAAATCAAAATGCTTCCAAACATTCTTCTTCTCTGACTTTCTGCTGTTTGCTGATTTTGTTAGCTCCCATTAATGTCCCACACAGGCACCCATAGACAGAAAAGGACTGCAGTTAATCACAGTTTCTCCCACAACATTGAGTTTAACACAGCGTGGGACAGGAGTTTACTGATGATATCTTCATACATTAACAGGAGACACCGACTGATTCTGTTTAAGCTGCTTTTTCACATTAATCAGACATTTTGCACAAGATTTATTCCAGTTTCAACAGAACATGAAAGCTGTGTCCGCTGTTGGAAAGCACAGTCGTGGGTTACCTGATTTGATGATGCTTGTTTTTCTGTGTATCATTTCTGTTGCTACTGTATGTGTTTTTATGGTTAATAAGTTTAATAGGATTTTTATGTAAAATGTATGTAAAATCTTCCTGCATGTCCAGCAATTAAGGCTCTGACATCCTTAGGAAAGCTGCGTTTACCTACTATGCTGCACACAGATGGAGTCAGCTTCCTTATGACATCAAATGTGCCCCAACTTTTAAATCAAAGCTGAAAGCTTTCATGTATTCATCAGCGTTTGAATGAATGTGTCTTATGCTGCACCTTCTGCACTGTAACTGCCCAGCCTTTTACTTTGTCTTTTTTCTGACTCTTAAATCTGCACTTAAATTTGTGTATTTAACTAATTCAAAATGTATTTGTGTGTTTTATTGTGCTGTCATGTTGATTTTAACTTTTGTGCTATTCTCACTAATGGAAAGCACATTGAATTGCCTCTATGTATGAAGTGTGCTGTGCAAATAAAGCTGCCTGACCATGCCTATTTGCTATAGGTGTAGTTTCTGGTTGGCATCTTAAATGTGCTTGTAAATAAATGTATTCATTCATTCATTCATTCTTAAAGGTGACACTTTCATTTGTTTGCATTCACATTTTAGTGAGCAGCAGTTGTGTGTTGTTTTTTTTCTTGTTGCTGTTGTTGTTATTGTGTAAATTCTTCTGCACCAATTCACCATTGGTGGGTTGGTGGTCGGTTGAGATATTAGTCAGGTGGTTAGTTGGTTGATTTCCGGTCGGCTCTCAGATCAAAATGTGATTGTCCCAAAATATCTTATAATGCAAGAACACAAATCCAGGTTTATAAAAGCCGATGGTTGACATAGTTTCAGTATTTCAAAATGAGAAACTCTGGTTTTTGAAAACTAACTGAAACTAAAAATGTCTGCCAAATTGGGGGGCTTCCACGTTAACTTAGATAAGGCCTGTGATGGAAAATCATCCTGCCACATTTAAAGAAACTGTGAGCAGTTGGCTGAATTTTTATTCATGCTTTCATTGAGTCTTGGCCAATGTCTGTCTGTTGTTAATTATCAAAAAGCTAAATAAAATATAAATTTGTTGATATACAAGATATTCATTCAGACCCAGCATTACACTGAAACCATGTATCGCTATGGTAACGAAAACTCTCTGTAGTGAGGAAGCAGCACCATGAATAAACGATCTGTTCCACAGGCTGACAGTTGGTTTCTAGTAGGGATTTCCTCTGAACAGAACCAACTGAAAGCGAGCAGCAGAGAGCCCCAGCTGTCGCTGGCAGTGATAACATCAACATCTTGCCGGCTGAAGTCCACCGGCTCTGTCCCCAAGAGGAATTATTCGCAAAAAAATCTAATACTGCCTCTTATTCAGCGAGAGGAAGTGAACAGGAACAGACTAATAGTGTTATAGCTGTCAGACGGACAGTTTGTCCAACACACTTTTATGTAATCTTTTAGGGGAACGTTTGATGTGTGTGGATCTGAATCCAGCATCTGGCCTCAGTTATTCTTAGCCTATTTTAACAGAAAAATCAGTCACTTATGAGGGATGTGATGGTTTTAGTGATGTCTGGTGGAATGATGACCAAAAGGTTTGCCATGAGGCTAGAGTTGGACCATGAGGGGTAGGGAGGAGGGGTATTCATAGGTAGTTTCAGCTCATTAAGCAACAACAGACAGCTACAGTTTATAAGCTTGACTCTCCCATATTCCAGTCAGAACTGACAAAGCTCCTCGGATGAGCAGGGAAACATCTTTAAGAAATCATAGAAGTCCAGCTGCCCTTCGGACAACCATGACCTGGATGACTGAGAATCTTCACCAGCATGTTCTTAAAGAAATCATCACCTGCTGACTTTGATGTTAAAGTTTTTTTAAAGCCATTATTTGGTGCATAAGAAGATTTAAGGCTGCAACGTTAAATACAGAAACCCAAAGATCTACTGATGGAGACTGTCAAAGATGTTTTCCTCTTATGTTTCTTCATTATTCAATTTTCCGCCAGGACAGGAGGGGGCGTAGATCTTTCCTGACGTTTGCCTGCCACTAGCCTGACCAGCCAGCCCCATGCTTCCTTATGGGAAGCATGCCCCCCCACCTCGAATTCTAACCGAGCCAATCAGCACTGAGCAATGTATATCACACACCGGAAAGCTGAGTATCTCATCAACAATGAAAGTGGCGTCTTAAATGGAGTTCACTGCAGCTCTTTCCTCTGTTCTGCATGACTTGGACGCGCCTTTAAAACCACAAGAAGAAGTGCTAAAAGCCTTTCTTCTTAAAAAAGATGGTGCCAGAATCCATTTTTGACTACAGCTAAAAAAAAAAAAAACTACAGCATAGTCGGCTTTTCCTCCTTTTTTCTGATTGCTTGTTTTTGAGCTGGCTAGTTCCGCCCTTCATGTGCCTCTCTGCCTGTGAGCTACCAGACTAGCTCTCTGTGCAGACAGAGGACGAGTCTGGCAGGTCAGGCTAGCCTACCACTGCAGTGACATCTCTAGTGAACGAGTTTATTTACTTCGGCTTGTAAACGCAAATATCTTAAAGGGGGTGTGAATTTAAATTTTATATTCTTGTGCTGATTGTTGAATTTCCCCTTGTTCCTTTTTTGTTATATTTGTTACATTCAAGAAGTAACAGCCAACAGAGTGCGAGTTTTCATTGAGTTGGAACTGCTTTATTTTCAACAAACAAAAACTTTTGTAACAAATAATTCAACGGGAGTGAAGGAGACTGAGAAGTCCATCCACTGAAGCCGGGCGTACACTGTGCGACTTTTTCACTTTTTTGAGTCGATTTTCCAGTCGTGCGAGAATCCACGACATCGGGGCGAGTTTTTCGCCGAGCGGTCGTGTAGTGTACATGGGGTTACGAGAGGCGATTAACACCACGTGACCAGCTGCCGATCAGCAGTCGTGAGGTCGCACAGACTTCTGGCGTGTTTAATATTTCGCTCATCCCTCGTGAGGGTATCGCACTGTTGAAGCGGCGCTGCGAGCAGCTGGGACCCAAAATGTACCAGAACCGCTCACGGCGCATGCGCAATCCTGCATCAACGCCGCTCGCTCGCTATTTCCCTAATAACACACGCTGTTCGTTTTTGTTTCTACACGTTTTTTTACTCACAAAGATTGTCAAGAAAGCGTGTTTGTCGTGTTCATGTCAAATTAAACTGATCACTAAACACAGATTTACTTTCTTTATTTCGTTTTCCTCATCCAACCCCCATAAATCCCTGTGTGTCCTCCTGCAGCTCTCCCGAAGGACAACAGGTAAAACAAGACAAAAAAGTCTGACGTGTTGTGTAAAAACTGCTATTATTAGCATATTTTTAGGGCCGACGTGTTGCTACCAGACGTACAGTGTGAGCAGTCAGATCGCATCTGAGAACTGGGTCGTACAGTGTGAGCACGACTCGTGAGATCTGCCCTGCGAGGAAGTCGTACAGTGTAAGCTGAAGCTGAGTGCTACGAGTGAAAAAGTTGCACAGTGTACGCCCGGCTTGACCCTGCTGTTGTTCGGCTGACCGATCCCAGACGTTGGCTCTTCGTTGTGTTCAACGCATAGTTAAAAATTTTCCCTCTACTCCCTCTGTCCTTGTGTGGCTGTTGAAGGGGTCTGGCGTCTCCGCACCTCCGCAGACAGAAAAGTAAAAACTAGGCTTTAGATTTAGCACCCATTGCAGAATGCAGCATTGTGCTGTAGCTGTTTGCATGCAGAGAAAATCAAAAGCACATCACTGATTCACGCCCCACCTCACAAACAAATCACACTCTCGCCTCTCCGGTAGTAAAAAACCCACATTACTCTGATGTAAACGAGCTGCAGCAGGCGTGAGGCGTCGTGTCTGAGAACCTCACAGGCGACGTAATCTACCGCGTCTCACATTGATCTGCTCAGGGTCTGTGGTGGGAAAAGCCCCGAGGCGGGGGTGTGAGCATGTGCACAGGACCTTCTGCTTTTCACACTACTACAGAAAATAAAACATACCTCCAATCCCAAAGGAAAAGAAAACTGCAATGAATACGGAAACATCTGTGAGAGGGATGAAGACACCAGAGCCACTGATGAGATGAAAGGCCGATGCTGCAGATCAAACGTGATTATTTCAGCTGCTGCAGCTGGAGACTTGCATGCAGATAGGTAGATTCAAAGCCCACACTCCTCGACAGAAAAAATGTTCTATGTTATTTCTTTAAATATTTACAAATTATGAAGCGCTTTATCTCAAATACGAAGGCAGATGTTTTCTGTTATTTACTGAATTGTAGGTTGGTAAGTCCCAATACCTTAGCACACTCACTCACACCCATTGAGACAATTTCATGGAGCCCAAAGTCAAACACTTCAAATATGAAACTAAGATAAAGCACATCAGTGTATGAAAATAAGGTCAAGTAAGTCATTTCCAAAGTATTTCAAACCAGTTTGGAGTATTACTGAATTTGTGAGAGGAAGTGAAGATGCTCCACAACATTTGAAACCTCAACCTTGTGAAGCCAAACGCATCTACCTCTTCAACAGGATTAATACTTTCCTAAGAAAAAGGCTGTATTATCAAGACTTCTGCCCTCTAGTTGAGGATCTCAGTAATGCAAGGACCAATTTGATTTATTTAAATTATCAGGAACCTGATCAGTGGGAGCTCGTCCATAAGGGGCGCTAGGGCGCCGCCCCACCAGTCTCACAGGAAAATTAAGAGCATAGGAGTCACAAAATATAAAAAACAACATGAAAATTAAACTAAACATTCTTTACATCATACAGACTAGAAGTGCTGTGTATAATCTGCATTTAACTGTAGTTTCAAAATGTTATTTCACAATTTTACCACTACCGAATCATGCAAAGTTACTTTTGGGCGCAGCAATCTACCATAGACCTACGATAACTGGTGCACGCGCATTGGATCCCCCCTCCACAGTTCACCATCCGTGGAGAGCAACTGAGTACATCTCATAGAGTTTTGTTATCATGAAGGACTTTTTACTTCATGAAATTAGCTTTGTTGTTATTTTTTTCAGCTGAATTAGCATATATTGGTGAATATTAAGCATGTTTTTTTGAACAATTTTTCTGTCACCGTCTGTCGGTGTGATGCATAAGAATTGTGATGTGGCGTTCCCTGGTGGTGGTACGTGGATTGCGCACCTGAAATCAGCTCAGTCGTAACAACTGCAAATTTCAGCCTTAACTATTTGAATTATGAGTAATGAGGTTATTTTTAATAAATTCATAATGTCAACACTTTTCTAATCAATGTTTCTCCTAAAAATCTTGTTTTTGACTATAAATATGATGAGTTAAATATTTTGTTGACACGTTTTATTTAAACACGTCAGACTCATGTTTAGTGAGTACTTTTATGTTGTTTTTTTTCTGCCTGCTTGAACTATTTTGCTGTTGGTTTAAAAAAACAGGAATGTGACTCAAAAAATATATTTTAAAGATTTATTTTTCCAAAAACCCATCATTTTTTATTTATCTGCCAATTAATTACCATTTTGTAAGGAAGCATTGGATAAGAAACATGTAAATAGTACAAGTTTATTAAAAAACCTCGTTATACATACCCTCCTCATAACAGGTCATATAAATCTCAGCTGACATGCTCTTTTCGGCACAACACCTGTTAAATTGGGCCCACCCCCAAATAAAAATAAAATTCACCATCCACCACTGAATCTGATCTAACTTGTTTAACGCAGCTGAATAACCCGACTTTACGTCCAACGCGACTCCCACGGTTTACAGTAAAAGACCTGCTGGAAACACTGATATTATTACAGGAACAGGAATCTGAGCGGCTCTTTGTTGGTTTTCTCCAGCAGCGCCTCCGCTGAAATCACAGAGTAAGTAACTGTGACACAGTTTGACGTCCCAAGTTTGCTGAAATCCTGAAGCTGCAACACAAGATAAGCTACGCCAAACTGCAGCTTTTCTTTTACAAGAATAAGATGTAGCTTCAGTTTTCATTTCTTACTTTAAAAACTAAAGAAAAGTCATGTTTAGCTGCTCGTTCTTTTTTTATCTGCCCCCACATTTTATCCATCCCACTTATCAACAGACCCATTTGTCCTCTCCATCATCCCGTCTCCTGTTCCCGGGGCTCAGCGATTGTTCTTGTTATCGTTGAGGAGTGCGCAGGGGTTTGTGTCAGTCTGTTTGATGATGAGATTGTGAAAAATGAGGCAGGTGGCGGCAATGTATCAGCACTTGAGAGGAGCACGGCGGCACTCTGGCAGAGGGAGGCGAGGCAGCGCAAGACGCATCACTGAGGGGTTTTTCTGTGTCAGGCCAGGCATGATGAAATCTATGCGATTTCTCCTCCACTGCATCAGACAGACAGGAGGGAGAATAAGTAGTGAGGAGAAAACAAGAGACAGAAAAGAGGGTCTTTTTCACATCAAGCTTTTCTAAGAAGCTCCCACCAATATCGTACCAAACTCCATCCAAATAGTTCTGGAGAAAGGTAACATGTACTTTCCCTCCAATTTGGAGAGGAAACTGACGACATAATGCCAATAGGATTTTTATTTTTATCTTTTATTTTTCCCGTGTCCTGTCTGGCCATGAAGCAAACAGAATTGATGTCTGAATGCTGGTGACAAGCCTTACAGATTTACTCTCAGGTGGAGCATCAAAGCGTCTGCTTTTAATGTCACGCCTGATACTTAAAACTTTATTATTGTTTTTGAACGCTTTTTAATTCTGACTAGACACAGAGGTGAAAGAGAAAGGAAGAGACAAAAAATGTTGGGGGGGGGGGGGTTCCACAAAAATAAACAATAATGAACAAGAGTCTGCTTCTAGACCTGCGGACAGAGAGAAGAAAAAAAAACAAAAAACAAAAGACAAACAAAAAAATGGGACACAACAACAATACAACAAGATCAAGCTATCACTGCGTCAACTTGATGAAGAAATATAAAATCAACATTGTTAAACTGAACAATCACATGATAATAAATCACAGTGCATTAAGTGCCCACCACAGCCTTAAGACGTGTTGAACGTGCCCAAGCCCATACTTATGAGAGCACCATGTGAGCACCTGTGTGTGTACACGCGCTTGTTTATGTAAGGATTCTCTATAGGAGCGTCCAATAGAGTGTGAGGGGCCATAGATCTGCCCCCCAAAGATGCGCAGGAGACGGGGGGGAGCTCCAAGTCCCAGAGATCCAGGAGCTGCCCCAGAGCACAGGAACCCCAAGGAGACTGCAACCAGAAAAGCCCCCGCCCCCCTCAAGAGGCGCAGAGGATCGCCACGGGGGGCCACAACCAGCAGTCGGCAGAGTCCCGGGAGATATCGGCGGTAAGCCCACAGGCCCGCCCGCAGCCTCCCACCCCCTAGCCGGCCGAGCCCGGGACCCAGCGACCCGGGACCCACGGGCGACCACCCCCACCGGAGATCCAGCAGAGCCCAGGGACCCAGACCCCACCAGGCAGGATCGGTCAGGCAGATGCCAAAAATCTTAAACCCCCTGACCCGGGAGCCACGACCCAGGCAGACCAAGGCACCACACCCCACACCAGGTGTGGCAGGGAGAGGGGAGACGAAGATCTATATCATCAAAAGAAGTCTCAGGAGAAGGGAGGAGTCAAAGGCCCCACCTGACATATACAGTCATACGCATACACAGTCACTCACTCCCTCCCTCATGCTCACACATGCACATACAACCAAAGACTTACAAAAATGCACGCTGGACACCCACTCATGCTACCCATACACACCCTATTCACTCTGGTCCCGGCACTGCTGCACATGGGGTACAACCATTACCGGTTCCCAGAGTTTGACCCTTTCTGCTGGGGTGCTGATGAGCAGGCTCCCCCGCCCAACGCTGAGCACAGCAACCCACCACCCCAGACCCCAACCAGATGGCCAGATCTCCCTCCTAGCCTCCAGCCCCAGGAAGCCAAGTGACAACAGAGGTGTACTAAGACCCCTAGTCTCCCTCCGCCTGCTCCAATATGGTGTTAGTGAGTGTTGATGAGGTTTATTCCATGGCAGTGGTGAGCAGGCAGTGCGGGCATCGTCTGGCCTATGCCAGCTGATGCCACCACACCACCCCACTTGCACCCACAGCCCTCGATGTCTAAGTGCAGTTTAAAATTGGAAGTGGGCACCGGCACTTGGGATGAGGCTGAGAAATCCCCCTGCCAAATGCCGTTGAATGTGCTCACTCCCAAGGCCCTAAGTGTGTGTTTGCGTGGAATGTCGTTGGTGGAAGTGTTTAAGGTGCAAACAAAACTGGGGGGCAGGTTGCCACAGGAATGCAGAAATGGGGTCCATACCCACACTCCCTGACTTGTCCACCCCCCAAGATCCTATGTGCATGTTTGTGTGATGATATGAGGGAGCAGGAGGAGAGAAATGTGTGGGGATGGGGAGGAATGGCTGGTTGGGCTTTTGGATATTGGATGCCAATAGGAAATTAACAGAGAGACTGGGTTCAATGATGCTGTAACAAACCCGCCTCACGCTCCCAACGATCCTTTTGACTTTCAAATCAGTTCTTGATTTATTGCTGTACCTATCATCTTTGTTCTCAACCCTCTAAATCAGCATGAGAACACACTATACACCAACTACCATGACACTTCCTGACCTTTCTGTAATTTATCATCTCCTCACCTATAACCTTCTTTCCCTACGCCCTGCAAACACACACACACACACACACACACACACACACACACACACACACACACACACACACACACACACACACACACACACACACACACACACACACACACACACACACACACACACACACACACAAAGTCAGTGTGTTTCTAGTTCTGTAACTGCCCACTGGGAGAAATACGTAAATGCACACCAAGGCAGCCTGAAGTCCTGTAATAGAAACTACGATGCAGAAACAGACTGAAAACATTAAAGCAAAGAATACCAGAGTCGGGTAAAAAAAAAAAAAAATCTTTATAAGATTCACAAGTTGGAAATTACCAGTGACTCCATCTGTTTGGATCTGAACAAAAACCAGCGTGCCAAATAATTCATTTGAACAGGTTAGGGTTAGACAGGGATAGATATATAAAAACGCCAAATAAATTTAGCAGCTGACGGTACGGAGAGTTACAGAGAAATAATCACAGGTGGTGAAATATGGACGTAAATCAACTTAATGGAAGAACGCCTTCAAGTATTTTTCAATGGGGGGAAAAATCCTGGCTGAAACTCAAGCTTGATTTCATAAATAAAAGGGAAAATAAACAAGAGGCTTAACCCCTTATTGTCAAAAATCTCTACCAAACCATGTCTGGCCTTAAAGTGTCCAGTGTCAGGATCAGGAACCTATTATACCTACTGCCTCCTGGTTCAGGATCTACAGGTGGCAAGGGCCAATTTTAATAATTTATTACTGGTTTAATGTTAAATATTTATAAAATAAAATTAGAGGTGGTAATTTAACACAATAATTATGACTGATTAATTAATTAGAAGAAAAAAAAAACACAATAAAAACTGAAAACTTGAGCCTGAGCGTCCCCCAATTGGGGACCAAAAAAGTTTAGTATTACAATTTATGCTCCATATATATATGGTCAGTTTTTAGCAGTGGTGGGCAGTCAGGGCCAGCAAAGCCTTCTCTGCTGGCCTAAACATACTCAAAAGCGTAAATGTATTTTTTTTCCTTTGGTAATTATTTTTAAATAAAAAAAATGTTTACTGGTCTATTTTCTTTATATCCTATTATAACCACTTGGCTGCGCTGCTTCCAGTGTTAAAATACCAAGGCTGGGTGTTATCCAATCAGATTTAAGCTAGCTTGTGTTTTCAGGCAGAGTCTGCCCTAGGCCTTCAGAATCAATCGAGAAGCCCACTGTCCGCTGTAAGTGAACAGAGACCATCTAGTTGCGATAGCCAATCAGCTCACGAGTCAGCTTGGCCCGGGCCAGCTAGCTGGCCTCACGCAAAAGTTGACATGAACGCATCCTGTGATTGGATAAGCAGTAGTTAGAACTTTTCTAGCGGCATGAAGCAAAATATCAAAACTAAACACAGAGATTTGTATCTATAGGCAGCTATCGGTGTATTTTTGAACACATGATGGCTGAAAGAGGAGAAGAGACAGACTTGGTTGCAGATTAATTTGCCACACCATTTTCCAGTCGGACCTTTCAAGAAAAAATGGATATTGTGAGAACAGGTCGTCTGACTCCAACGCTAGCTGGCTTGTCCCAGCAGGGGAAAGGATTTGTTCGTCATTTTCAGGCAAGCAACTATGAACGGTACCCATGGCTAACAGCTTCAGAGAACCGCTGCAGGTTATTCTGCTGGGAATGCCTGTTGCTCGCATCAGATGGATTTGGTAGCATTGAAGCGCGTTAAAACGTACGCCAGAAACACGACCGGACAGACACGTCTTTCAGCATTAGCCTCCGTGTCCATAGAAAAGGATCCACTCATGGACCTGAAGCGCACAGATAAACTGTACAGAGCCACTGAGGTTTTCCTGAGGAAAGAAAGAATGAAGGATTTTATTTTCAAATGAGCAGGAGAGGAGGAGATCCATGCTGGACATTTATGTTGGTGAGTGGAAACATTTTATTAGTATTTTTTTTAATGTTTTGTCATTTTATTTTGTTAATAATCAATAAATGGTAACGAAATAAAATGGCAAAATGAAATTATTCTGTGTTCTGCTTCTATGCAATTTATATTGTGTATAACGTGGTGTGTGCAGCTGCGCCAACATGTTCAATTGTTTCGCGGTACAATTTTCTCCAAAACAAATGCAAATAATGTGTTTGCTTTACTTATTTATTTTATTGTCTCATCTCTTAAACCCGTCTTTCATTTCTGAGATTTGACGGTATCCGTGGTCAGCTTCCTACTCTCAACTGGGAATGCGAGTTTGATTTTAAAGACTCTGGAAATTATGTGTCTTGACCAGCCACTGGTGTGTGTGTGTGTGTGTGTGTGTGTGTGAGGTTTCTCCAGCTGTGATGTCCTATTGATGGTATTTTAGGTGTATTAAATTAGATTGGACTGAATAGGAAATCACTGAAGGCCCAGGGGTGGAACGCACCGCCCGCCACTGGTTTTTAGGTACTGTTTGACCATTCAATATCTGGTCAAAAAGGAGACACGAGACTGCATCTGTCCCCTTTAAATCAGCCTGCCCTCATCCCACCAGCTGAAGCTCAGAGCCTGCTGCTCTGAACACAGATAATGAAATGTCAACAATAATGCTCTCTCCTCAAGGTCCAATCTTTCAGGATTATGCCTCCATATAAGGAACACTCGCAGCCCAGATTAGTTGCTAAATAAAAGAATGACTTCCTAAATCAAATATGA